CGATCCAAATCCCCGATTGATATTGAGATCACTTCTGGTCCAGAAGTACACAACAAAACAAAAATATATTTTTAAATAAATATTTGACAAAAAGCGGTTGTTTTTACAGAATTAGGTAAAAGAAATACTGCACTATTGAAATATATGTGTATGTCTAATTACAGCAACAGTTAGAGTTTACATAATTTATTATATACTCTGACATTTGATTAGATAAATAGCTATAAGACTTAGTGATACTTAAATATTTTTCAGATAATATCCCGATATATAATATTTATATCTATATTATACCAAAGTTTAAGAGAAAAAATAGTGCGTTTTTAACCTAAGTTATAGTAAACGATAATATTTTTCTTTTATTTCACATTCATTTCGAGATTTCCATTGAAATAAATATCAATTTTGTGTTTGCCTTCAACAACATTCACACAAAACTCTTGTCTACATCCTTGACCTAATGGCCATTAAACTAACCATTAGTTTCAAGAATTTGATTTTATTGCTATATATCTTTAACACCATTTAATATTACAAACAAATGTATATTTTTAAGAGAATTATCATTTGAAAGTGTTTTGAAAAATATTGTGAAACAAATGAATAATGGTTTGATTTTTTTATTATTATATCATTTAATATACCGTTTGTTGAGATAATTATAGAGAATAACTGATTCCTAATATCCATAAACCCTTATTATGCAGAATAACGAACCATTAAGTCAGTCATCATTTGCTTCGAGTGCTTATCACCAAATTGATCCCAATTCGACCAAACATTCACTACACGACAAGCGATCGATACGAACGATTCATTTATTAGACAAGTCATCCACTTATCCGCCATTCGTTATGGATATGACATACGTTACCGAAAGGATTATCGGTAAGAATTATGGCTACATTTTTATCGCACAAACTTTTTGATACTTTTTTATAAAATCTTACATCAAATCTTACTAATTGTTTGCCTCACGCTATGTGTTCCTATGGGTAATAGCGCTCACATTTCCCGAGTCGGGAACATCGGGTACATACCGGGCTAACCTGAAAGATGTGGTACAGATGCTGAGGACTAAACATAAGAGCAAATACATGGTCTTCAATCTGAGTGAACGCCGACACGATCTCGTCAAACTGAACCCTAATATCTGTGAGTTTGGTTGGCACCAGAACTTAGCGCCGCCGCTGGAAAGGCTGTGCGCCATATGTAAGGCCATCGACTCGTGGCTCACGTGCGACCCGCAGCACGTGGCGGTCATCCACTCCAAGGGCGACAACGGGAGGACAGGTGTGGTGATCGCCGCGTTCATGCACTACACGGACATCTGCGCCACCGCTGACCAGGCGCTCGACCGGTTCGCTATGAAACGCTTCTACGACGACAAGTTGGATCAGTTCATGCAGCCATCGCAGAAAAGGTGTGTCCGCTCACTATTAGCTTGATTAGCTAAATACCTAGATACTAATGATTGCTATTTTATCATTCAATTCTGATTGTATAGATATATTCAGTACTTTTCTGGACTGCTTTCTGGTGGCATCAAAATGAATAACAGCCCCCTATTCCTGCACCACATTATCATTCACGGGATACCAAACTTTGACCAAAGAGGCGGCTGTCGGCCCTTCCTTAAGATATACCAAGGAATGCAAACCATTCACAGGACAGGCATCTATTCGTCGGATAACCGGACAAAACGGATATTTATTTTATTGAATCCAAGTCTTCAAATGAGAGGCGATATTCTTATAAAATGTTACCACAGAAGACAGACCCCGGGAAGGGATTCCATATTTCGGATCCAATTCCACACCTGCACTCTAGAGCACGACCGGCTTGTCTTCAATAAAGACGAGTTGGACGACGCTATCAATGACTTCCGGTTCCCAAACGACGGTTTCGTTGAATTCTTGTTCAAGACTTCCGGTGACTTTCGGCCCCAAAACGGTTCAGTGACCGATTCAATCACTCCTATCATGGATGAGGCGCTACACGACTCGATCGTCAAATGGGATTCCTATGAGAACTTTGATTTGGCGCCAGAAGACAAACCCGACCCTCTATTGGACGCCTTCGCCGCCGAACTCAACAATCCGTCGCATACTTACGGCCCGATCGATGGGAGTCTTTACGCAACGGTCGCCAAACCCGGGCCCAAGAAATCTCCGGTCACTTTCTCACTGCCAAACAACGGACACACAGACAATGCCAGCGATGACGGGCCACACACTGTCAGCATCGACTCCGGCATCTCGTCCACTGTGTCCGGTCATCCTCATCATCACAATCCCACACACACTGGAAATACAAACGGGGGTTCAGGCGGTTCAAGCGGTTATCCCTCTCCCATCAACGTTGAAGTAGAAGTGCATCACCAGAATGGCGAAGATAGACATCATAACAAGCCCTCCACTCAAGAGCAGCATGAGTTGGATGAGCTGTTGAGTGGAATGTTGGAACAGATCCAATCGCTTCCAGATCATCCCAGCGCTACAATTGCCCGCAAAGCCTCTACAATAAGTCAGGACTCATCTCCCAGTGCTCACCAATACTCGTCAATATCGCGAACACCGACCACTAGTTTCAGCCAAAATCCAAGTGATTACAGTTCACCCAAAACACTATACAATGGAAACCCGAGCGGAGGCCAAACCACTAGTCCTGATGTAATCCAAACCCGTTTCCTAACGAAACCTATTTCTCAGAGCAGTTCTGACGAGAAGAAGCCATATCGCACTCCGCCCGGCGGTCAGCCCTTCTCTTACGGAGTGACCGCCAGTTCCCCAGCCCTTCAACGACGTCGAGTGTTCTCCGAGTCGACCGCATATGTGACCGAAAATCTTGTGCCAAAAGCGGTGGCCGACCACGAGATACGAGACACGGATGACGTGTTCAGTGATTACGCCTCGTCTTCATATCAGGAGACGTACAGCGAAGACGGAACGCCTCTCACTTGGCTTCAGAGGCAACAAATGAAGCTCAAGACTAAACACGAGGGGAAGGGTATGCAGGAAAGGCATTGGAAGGAACAACGAGTAATTCAGGAGTTGAAAAGTGTGGCCAAACGCATACCATCGGAAGACTCGTCTCGAGAATCGTCGCCACCGTATTCACAGCCCCTACACATCAACACTAACGGCAAGTCCTCGACCTACAGGGGAAGCACTCCGTCATCTCCTTTCATACCGGCGCGCACTTCGAGTAAAAATGTTTGGCAAACACCCGGCCGTCCGGTTCAGCGCCAGAAGTCGGACAACTCGTACGATAGGGAACGACCGTTCGTTGCCGTCCAGAGAGCGCATCAGACGGCCCAACAGGAGGTGTCGAGTCCGCAACAAATGGCTGCCTCGCCGTCGCTGTACGGAAGTGTCTATCCTTATAGTCAACATCACGTATATATGCCGAACGCCAGGGACGGCCTTCTCATGCAAACACATGGCATGGATGAAGTGGATTCTGTGCGACCCAAACACTCTACTCCTTCCTATAAAGTCAGTACACGTTTAGAGAAACTTTTCACACATTCCTAACAATCGATTCCTGACTTCTTGATTATTCTTGATTCACATACAGAGCGCTACCGTTGAAGCACCGACTTCTTGGTCGCCGTCATTTGTAAGTAGCAGTAGTCCTAACTCTGACAGACCATCAACGCCAGGATTCCCGATAATTCCGGGCACGCCGTACGTGAATCAGGCGTCCCGGAGTCCACCTCTTTTCAGGTGTGCTCTCATTTACATTGATAACTATTATATATTCAGTGTATTGATAACAATCATATTCTGCTTTTTGTGTTTGTATTCTCGTAATGAAAACAATTGATAACTTGTATTAACGCCTAATTGCTGAATGAAATTCTTTAACATCTCGTCTACACTTTGCTTATAAAGCCATTCGCTGTGTCCTAATTACACAGCACTTCCATGCAATTACAATCGCTGGTCTGACAATCCCCTGTATTGTAGGTGTGGGAGGTGTGGGTACGCATTCATTAATTACTAACCTTTTCAAACGTCAAATTTATTTCATTTCATAATCTTTTCAAAATTATTGTTTAGAAAAGCATTCATTTATGCATTCAATTCTTGAGCTGATTTGTGTTTTTATAGCTTTTTATCTCATAACTGCTTTTCATTTTGATTAAAATGTAACTAAAAAACTCACATTTAATTTATTTAACAATTAATCACTTCTTAATGAGTTCTTCTTATGGTTTTTATAGGAAAGGAAATCAAAGTCCTTTACCAATGAATGGACAAAAAGATCCCGAATCGCCCGCAGGTTCTATATATTACGGTCAGTCCCAGCGATCGAGTCTATTATCTCTGAACGACTCGGAAGTGATAACACAGCACCCGATCTTCATAAGAGATACTTCCAGTTATTGGTATAAACCAAACATCTCTAGAGAAGATGGTATGAAATTGTTTGCACTCATAATCCAAAATAATTAAAATTAATTTTTTTATTAATTTAGCCATAAGTATGTTACGAGATAAATCCAGTGGCACATTCATAGTACGGGACAGTCATTCATTTCCGGGTGCTTTTGGTTTGGCGCTCAAAGTCGCGACACCCCCTCCTAATGTCCAAACAAAAACAGGTTTGCATTTTATCACTACAAAGAATATATGAAATGATAAATTAGTCCTTGCTAATTGTCCATTTTATGATGATCAGGGGACATATCCAGCGAATTAGTGCGCCATTTCCTAATTGAACCCACGCCTAAAGGTGTTAGGCTTAAAGGCTGTCCCAATGAGCCCACATTTGGCAGTCTCTCTGCACTGGTATACCAACACTCAGTCACACCGATGGCACTGCCCTGTAAACTAATTATACCCGATTCCGATCCGTCGGGTGAGCCCACAGTGGACTCAATCATAAGCAGTTTAGGGACTGAATCGCCGGCTAATATCCTATCAGAAGGCGCCGCCTGTAATGTACTGTATTTGGTGACCGTCGACATGGAATCGCTGACCGGACCGCAGGCCCTGCGGAAGGCTATTAGGGAATTGATGGCAATGAAACCACAGCCCATGCCAACCATTGTTCACTTTAAGGTGTCTAATAAAGGAGTCACACTTACGGATAATAATCACAGGTAATGTGCAAAACAATTACAGAATATTCTGTAATTACAGAATATTCATATTTCGATAAGTTGTAATTAATGATAAATGCTTGCGATTACAGACTATTTTTCCGACGCCATTACCCGCTCATATCAATAAGTTTTTGCGGAATAGATCCCGACTGTAGACAATGGAAACATGAATTCGAGGGAATTCCCTTACCATCTGGCGATTGGTATAACAAATATTCTTTGCACTCGATTACAGAATATGATAATTAAAACATGTTTTCGCAAACCACTCGACAGTATCTGCTTTGGGTTCGTTGCGCGCAAAACTGGTAGCAAAACCGACAATCAGTGTCATGTGTTCGCTGAGTACGACGTCGACCAACCGGCCTCTGCTATCGTTAACTTTGTCAACAAAGTTATGGCAACGAATCCAACACAACACAGACCTAATCTATTGTAGTGACACAATAGACACAACACCGCGAAGTTGTCGTCAGACACATGAAAAGAAAGCACAGAATCTCTCTCAGAGGGAATTACCCCCTCTTAACCAGACATGTCATGATAATTGAGTGATGAGAACAAACTAAAGCCACGAAATAAAACGGATGCCCTTCGGAGTGCAGCTCGAAGTGTTTGTGTCATAACAGCACCCAATGAACCAGAATATTAACATTTCAATATATATTTGTGTATAAACTAAATGCATACAAACCAAACAAAAAAGTGCCTAAAATTTAAATTAATGTTGAATTTTACTCGAAATCGTTATAAGAAAATAAATATGTGATTAATATATATATAAATATTATAAATACAGAGAGTATATCACAACAAATGCAATATAATTATCATTTATTTATCCATCCCTTTCCCCCATTCATAAACTTATTAGTAAAGAATATATTCATTACTTAATGATAACTTTTTATCATCATTTTCACCACCTTTAGCTTCAAATTGTATTCCCTTTTTTGACAATTTATTTGTAAAATAACTAATTTAATCAAATTTTTGTCCAGTAATTATAATTATTGTTAATAACTTTTTAATTCACTATTATTATATTTTGTTGGTTTTATGATTTTATAAATTAAACTGTTTGATGTGTGAGTTATTATAGCCCCCCAAAACACAACCCACTATCTATATGTTCACCCTTCTCCTTTTTGTTCTCTATTTCTAGTCATTTAAATAACTAATGAATTGATCAATTATACTATTTTAAACTGTATGTCAATTATTTTTTATTTTAAATAACACTATGATGAACAATGTTGGAAGTTTTATAACATTAGGGAAAATTACTACAATAAATCAAATAATGTTTTAGAGATACTATAACTTTCTAATTAATAGTTTTAATTTAAATACAAACCAATATGAAATAGAAATTGTTTCGAAGATTATACAATATTATTTTCTTATCTGTTAATATCTTATTTTCAAATATCTTTTAACAATAGTTTAATCTAAATTATCTATTTATAATGAAAGGCAACTCTACTATAGACTTGATTCTGAGTTCATTGCAAGAAAATAATAGTTCCTTAATATAAGAATAAGTTTATTACTAATTATATTATTATATATATTATTATATATATTAAATCAAATTGTATTATAAATCAAACAATCTTAAAATGAATTCATTAAATATTGTGCCATAAGTTATAAATAATGTTTAAATATCACATTAATTATATCTTCCCCTTTCCCTCTCTCCCTATCTTTGTAACAAATTTTTGTCTCATTTAAAGAGTAATTATTAATAAAATATAGATTTTTCGAAATAAAAGTTTTGTGTATTTATTTCTTTCGTTTTAATTAAATGGATCTTTAAAATTGAATTAATCGGTAAATATTACTCGTTTATATTTTGATTTATAAATAATTTATTATTAGATTTAGTATAATCAAGTTGTTAATCTAATTTAATACTAGTATTATATGACTGAGATTATTGTCTGTAAGAAAATAAGAGACGACTCGTGAATACTCTGTACATGACATGCAAGTAGTAAATGTCGTGATAATTATCAATATTCTGTATTTCATATCATATTATGACAAAAATAATTCCGTACATTAACTCAACGATCAGCGAGTTATTTACTGTTACAAATATGTGACATTAATTTTATACTACAAAAGTTCAATGCCACAAACTATTAAAATTAAAAACTAAAAATAAATCCTTCCAATGAAATAAAAACAAAATTAAATTATTTTATTAATATTAGTGTAAAAATTAGCTTCTTACATCATAATTAAATTATAAAGTTAAACTGTCGATTATTTGATACATAAAGATAATAGGATAATTTAATTATTTCTTTTATTTCATAAACTCCTGGAAACCTTTGATTCAATACTTATCATGTAATTGTGTGTTGAAAGGGTTGGTTAGGTTAGGTTAGCACAGGAGATGATTTGCTAATCATATGAAAAATAAGTAACTTTTCACATAAACCCATTAATTTAACAGATAACTCAATTGGCTATAAAAATTTATTAAATTAAAATAAATTACTATATTTACACTCAATAAGTTATCATTTTATCTGTTATTGCTAAATATTACACTGCTGAGTACTATTAAACAATTTAGAAATCACTTTTAAATAGTTTAATCAATACAACTTACAGTATAAATAGTCGATATCTATTTATCGAGATAAAAGTCGATTGAATGTGAAAACGGTATAAACGTTGAGAAAAACGAATGACTTTTCAAATTAAAGTCAAATAACAATCAATATTCTGTTGTGAAGTCAAGTGTAATAAAAGTTAATTAAAATTCAGTTTTTGTTTTTCTAAGCGTTTTATGATTCAAAGAAAAGTTTGAACTCTTTTTTACACTCTTATTGTCTAATGTTTAGCATAAAAGCAATCAAATGATAAACTAATTGATAAGAATATTCTGACATTTAAACTACAGTTTGTTTAAATGAATGCATTTATAATTACGTCTATACTAAAAGTGCACTAAAGTTTGGAAATGAACACAAATTCATAAGAATTTCAACTATTATTTGATTCATTAATAACAGAAATATTATACACATTAAGTCAATATTTTTGTAGCATTTTTTATAATAGCAAAAAAGTCTGTTAACATTCTGTGGGTATATAAAGGCTAAATTACGGTAAACCAATACCACTGTATACTATCTAATGTCACATAAAGGAGCAAGGTTACTTAGGCAAGGTAAATTAGTTTTTAAACATCTACTCACAATTAAATTTCAATGAGAAAGTCTATGATTTTTAAAAATATTTCACACAATGTATGAAATACAATGACTTAAAACTAAATGATTGTCGGTTTTGGGTTAAAAATTATAAAATCATAATTTGAGTGAAATATTAAAATCAAAAACTTTTATAACAACTCCTATAATAACTGAACACAAAATACAGTCAAACCTACGGCTAATGGGCGTACAAACCAATGGCTAATTCAGGATTAGCCTAATCCTACCACTGATTACAAGCATACATATGATTACCAAAAACATTTGCATACAACTGCAATCATGTAGACCCGGGTACAATGAAGTTACAGGTGCTGTGAGGTGAGTGTGGGGGGAGAGTGGGGCTAAAGGTGTGCCATAATATTGTGGACGTAAGTGATAGACTGTACGCACAGTACAGCCTATACTGGCATTAAATGCTCCGTCATTTGGCTCTCATATGACATAACATTAGATGTATTTCTAATGCATTGCTATTCACTATAACTGCGATTCACAGTCAATACGAGCACTGAATTCATAGGCTTTTTATATGCAATACACACTCATCTGTTTGTGCGAGGGTTTAGTGATAGCCATTTGGATCTGATTATACCATCGACTATACCATCGACTATACCATCGACTATACCATCGACTATACCATCGACCATCTCATCCACCCATTTGGACACCAGTGTTGAGGTAAGCCTGAGTATAGTCTCCCCATTGAGTCCCATGTTATAGCCATTCAAACCGAGCACTCAATGCGTCAATACGTGGTGTGTGTATAGCGTTGTTGTGGTGTTCACTACACTGTATGAGTACCCATGCATTCTCTATGAGTGCCAGTACAGAGTGTATGCAATTCGGTCGCCATTTCAT